AAAAACGATTCAAAACAAGCAGATACAAGGTTCAGAAAAGAAAAAAAGTCAACAATTCCAAATTAATCCCAAGAAAGAACATCTTTCCAGCTTAACCACAGCGGCAGTTCCAAAAACTTCAAAGAGAGTCTTCTCTTGACAAGAACAAATAGAACGGTACGTGTGTGGGTATCGGAAAAACGGATCGACGTCGGAGGGGAAGACAGAAAAGGAGCGACGAGAAAGACCGAAAAAAGGAATTAGGTGCCGACCAATTCTCGCTTCTTCTTCTCCTTCTTCGGCGCCCGAAGTTTTCAATCGGTTTCACTGATATTCTGACCGATTGTGAATCGATTTTATTGTTTTCTGTGAGGGGACAGGGTACTGTATGTTACTGTATTTTTCTTTAGTAGAGTAGAAACTTAAATAAGCGAAAAGAAAGTTAGACGGGTGTAAATGGGTGTAAAAAACAAACACTTTCAAGGGTACTGTAGTTTACTGTAGGTTACTGTAGGTTACTGCATTGCCTTTAAGTAGAGTAAAAGCTTAAGTAAAGCGAAACCAAGTTAGAAAGTTGGAGGAACGGGTGAAGAAAACAAGTATTTTTAGGGTACTGTAGGTTACTGTATTTTGCCTTTAAAAAAGCTTTGGTTAGGTGAAAGCAAGCTAGAAAGTTGGAGAAACCGGTGGAAAAAACAAATATTTTCTAGGGTACTGTAGGTTACTGTATTTTACCTATGAAAAAAGTTTTGGTAAGGCAAAACCAAGCTAGAAAACAGGACGAACGACTGGAAAAGACAAATATTTTGTAGGGTACTGTAGGTTACTGTAGCTCCCAGTTTCCGGCGTAAAATTGCAGATTCTAAATGAAACTTCAAAAAAATTAGAAAAAAAAATCAAACGACATGAATTTTTGGTATAAAAATGAGCATCAAAGTGATTAAAATTAAAATTTTCTGTGAGGGGACAGGTTACTGTAGGTTACTGTATCTTTATTTAGTAGAGTAAAAATCTTCAATGAGGCGAAACCGAGCTAGAAAGTTGGACAAACGGGTGGAGAAAACAAATACTTTAGGGTACTGTAGGTTACTGTAGTACTGTAGGGTACTGTAGATTACTCTCGATTTCCAGTCCAAAATTGCAGCTTCAAAAAAAAAAAAAAAATGAGCGACATGGATTTTTGATTCGAAAATGACCAAAGAAAATCTCAATAATATGGATAATTTTTTTTTCAAATTGAATAATCTTACTGTAGAGAGGGTTACGGTAGGCCTAGGAGTTCAAAATCTTGAATAAAATATATAAATTTCTATCACAATATTAGTACGTTGGAAGCCCAAAAACAACCCAATTTTTCTCGAAAAACCCCATTTTCCAACGCTCTTTTTTTGTCTTCTTCTTCAAGATCCCATCTTTCGGCATCACCCGATCTCAATCTCTCAACCGTTATCACGTTAAACCCACCGTTGGCCCGATTATCGGCGCGTCGCAGAAAGAAAAAAAAAACGAAATGAGGAGCCTTTTGGACTGGATACCTGGCAGGTTAATCGTCGAAGGGTAAAATCTGGGTTTTATTACTCATTTGAAAATTAGCGGGGTCGCATTTGGAATGGCTCAACGCGTTGCGGCTCGAGTCGAGCCATTCCCAGTGCGACCAACAAGTTTCGAGAAGGAGCCAAATTGAAACAATAACACTCAAGGGGCCTCAAAATCGTTATGAATATCAAATTCCCTTCGAAAAGATCTCATTGAAAATGCATAAGGCTCCAAAAAACGTCAGGATTGACCCTTCTAGGCAAAAAAAATCCGCTAAACCGATCTCCAACGGAGATTTGAGAACGGACAGATTTTTGTGGGAGATATTGAATGCAGCTTGTTCATACCGCACATAATTAGGGTGAAAGTTGAGATGGGGAAGAGATTTTGGAGAAAAAACCAATGGTCATAGTCAGGGGAAAGTCGATTGCCTGTCACATCACCTTGAACGTTTTTTTCAGATGTTAGTCCTGGTAACCTGAGAACTGAATCTGAAAAAGCTATCGAGTGTTACTAGGGTTAAAAAAGATCGACTTTAAGTTTTACACCCATAGAAACTTCTCTAATCATACTGAATTCCTTGAAGACTTACTAAAAGTTAGACCAAATAACTAACTTAGACAGTCTAAAGAACTAAGTTAGACCAACTAAAACACTATCAAGATCAAGCCAAGCAAACTGGGTACTAGTTAGACCGATCCAAACAAGCTTTTTGGGAATATGATCCACAGAAAAGATTGCTGAATCGAGTCAAAAAAAACCTGGGTTTCTGAATTGTATCAATCTTACTCGAATTGGTAGTAGTAAAACTCTTTCAGGACTGTTAAATTCAGAGAAAAAAAATTGTAAAAGTAGTCCTGCTGATAGGGAAGACCTGCTAAAGAAGTTCTTCTACTGAAATAATTCTGAAATCTTCATAAAAAGATCAGAAGACTTACTAAAAATAGAAAGGTCGCCCTCCAAAGTCTAATCTACGACACACAACTTTTCCAGAACTCCTTGAGCCTTATCCAGACATGATTCCGAAAATCTTCAGATCCCAAAAATTCTCGGAACACGCCCAGGCCCGTTAGAAGACTTACCATTAACTAGGAGCTACCAAGGTCGATCTGAAGGATCAAAAAACTGTTTCACTTAAAATCAAGTCAACGTCTCAAAAAAGATATACTTCAAGTGCACCCTCTCAAATTTATTCAGCTCATGGAATACCAGCTAAAGTGAATTCAGATCAAGTCAGAATCAGTGATACAGTACTGGCCATAAAGGTATTTCAAAGTGGTTATTCGAGCATAACTTCTCTGAAACTGACTCAAATGACTTGAAACTTCGCACAGATTTTAAATAGCTACGCAGTAACTATTTCTCAAAAGGAGAACTCATTTGTTCAAGTCAAACAGGATTTGAGAGCAAAAACCGAAAAATCGTGAAAATGAAGATTTTTACTTTAGAGATTCGAAAAAAATCATATCTTCAAAGAAACTTCGATTTTCAATTAGAAACTTTTTTTCCCCAGTAAAAACAAGTCTTCGACTTTCCGAAAAAAACCTCATCAGCCCCCTATCAACCCGGTAGCATGAGCGTAGTGACTTTTTTTCTCCGAAAGGCCTTTGCGTTTTGAAGCCTCGTCATTCAAAATGGACTATACGAGGTCATTTTTTTGTTTGAGAACACCCTGTATCATGTTGAAAAAAACTTCAAAACCTCCTCAAGAATAGTTTCACACTGTTTTTCCTCAGCTTTCTCACTTTACCCGCTCTTCAGAACTCACTAACTTCTCTGGGACCGATTTTTGAACCTCTGATTTGAAGCGGTTATGCTCGTTTTTTTCAAAAATCAGAACACTCTCGATTTCTCATTTCAGATTCCAAAGCTTTTTCCAAAACCTTAATGAATGAAAATAAAAAGGAGACTCACTGTGTTTCGCTTACTTATTCAAAAGATATAGTGAGTTATAATGAGTTCCTCCAAGTTCTCAAAACTCCGTTTAAGCAAGTGTTGCTTAGAAGGCTCCAAATCTCGTGAAAGATGATAAAAAAACCCCTTTTTTTCATATTTTTTTAAATGTTTTTAGATCATGAGATAAATTTGTAACTCCTCTTCCTAGCTCTCAGATAGAAAAATAGGCACTGTAAAATGTTTCTTTAAATCTTATGGAAAATAAGTTTTTGGTCTTGTGAAACTAATGCTTCAGCAAAAAAATTAGCAGTCTTTAGAAAGCAGGAGCCTGCAATTTATTCATTATTTATTTTTCGATTTCACGATTGAAAAAGCGACTGATCAGATAAAAAAACTCCTTTGAATGCCCGAAAGTCCAGAAAAACTGTTCGAATCAGAGGTTCAAAATCGGTCCCAGAGAAGTTAGTGAGTTCTGAAGAGCGGGTAAAGTGAGAAAGCTGAGGAAAACAGTGTGAAACTATTCTTGAGGAGGTTTTGAAGTTTTTCAACATGATACAGGGTGTTCTCAAACAAAAATGACCTCGTATAGTCCATTTGAATGACGAGGCGTCAAAACGCAAAGGCCTTTCGAAGAAAAAGTCACTACGCTCTTGCTATCGGGTTGATAGGGGGCTGATTAGGTTTTTTAGAAAGTCGAAGATTTGTTTTACTGGGGAAAAAAGTTTCTAATTGAAAATCGAAGTTTCTTTGAAGATATGATTTTTTTCGAATCTCTAGAGAAAAAAATCTTCATTTTTCACGATTTTTTTGGTTTTTTTGCTTTCAAATCCTGTTTGACTCAAGCAAGTAAGTTCTTTTTCTGAGAAAATGTTACTGCGTAGCTATTTAAAAATCTGTGCGAAGTTTCAAGTCATTTGAGTCATTTTCAGAGAAGTTATGCTCGAATAACCACTTTGAAATACCTTTATGGCCAGTACTGTACCTATCCTAGCTTGATCCAAACCGAAAAGCTCAAAAAACAAGCTCCACACTTCGAGAAGCTTCGGATAAGGCGGGAAACGAGGCGTCTGTATTTCCTGAGTTCCAAGATGAGAAAGCCTTACTAAAAGCTGTACTAGGTATGAACTCTGAAGATCAACCTGAGCCTTTTAACTCTTTGATAAGAGGCACGACCAAGGTCTCAAAAAAGCTATACTTCAAGTCGGACCTATCAGAACTACTCAGCCCAAGAAAGTCCAGCCCTCATGCCTAGAGATCAAATAAGTCTATTGAAAGCGACTTTTCTCAGGAGAGACTTACTCAAATATCTTCAAACATACTATAAAGCTTGATCTATACTGAAACTATCCAATCTAATTCGATCCAACTCTTTCAAAAAATCCTAATCCAGGCGAATTTATTGAGAAGCGGTGATTCGGATGAGGTGGGAAACAAGATGGCGACTTTTTTCTGAGTACCAAGATAAGAAAGACTTACTGGAAGGTAGCTAACTGAAGATCAGGCCAAGTGACAAAAAAACTCCTACCTTCTGAAGTCAGGCCTATTCAGAACAGACTTACTCGATCTTCAAACAGACTATCAAGCTTGATCTACACCAAAAGCATCCAATCAAATCCGATCCAACCCCTCCAGAACCAACTCGACGCGACCATATTGAGAAGCGGTGCTTCGGAAGAGGCGGGAAACGAAGTGACTGTTTTTTGAGTCCCTAGATGAGAAAGACTTACTGGGAGGTGGACCTAGTAATAAATATTAAAAATAAATAAGGACAAATCGACTGAAGATCAGACCAGGGTAACTAAATAAGCTTCTTCTTCGAACTAGCCTTCTAAAGTCAGACCAATTCAGAACAGACTTACTCGAAGATCTTCAAACAGACGAGCAAGCTTGTTCCACACCAAAAAAATCTAATCAAATCCGATCCAACTCTTCCAAAAAACCAACGACCATATTGAGAATGCTTTGGAAGAGGCGGGAAACGAGGTGACTGTTTTTTGAGTGCAGATAAGAAAGACTTACTGGAAGGTGGCTATCAACTGAAGATCAGGCCAGAGTAACAAAAACCTCTACTTCGAACTAGCCTTCTAAAGTCAGACTTACTCAAAATCTTCAAACAGACCAACAAACTTGATCCACACCAAAAGCATCCAATCAAATCCGATCCAACCCCTCCAAAAAACCAATTCCAACGCGACCATATTGAGAAGCGGTGCAGCGCGGATAAGGCGAGAAACGGGATGGCGGCGGTGGCGGCTTAGGCTTAGACACGGGGCGCTTGGAAGATACGCGCAACGGGACGCGTGATGAATGATGTGAGCGGCGAAGCGAACACGTAGCGATCCTCTCCGCACCCGCCGAAAAACGACAAGCCCTGGAGAGAGGACACGCCGCAAAACAAACTCTTCTTCGTCGACGCCACGCCGATACGACAGTCCTAGTCCAGCAGTGTATTGTTCTTGGGAATGGACCTGAGGTGCAGGTCGAGGGGGCAATTAGGAGCTTGGCTTTTTTCCTCACTTATACATATTCGACATGGGACATCTAAGAACATAATCACAGGAACTTTTGGAACGGCTTTCAAAAACTCTTTTTCATACCTAATAAGGATCAGACCAACTGGAAGCTAAGTTAGCAAATCACTTCTTAAAAAAACCCTTCAGACCAGTTAGTTTGAGCCGAAAGTATCAATGAGCAAACCTGACCTGGAAAAAGGACCTTATGACTTCAAAATGGGGGGGGCGGGGGGGGTAGAGATCTAACGGAAACGCTCTGACGCTAAAAAAAGGTGTGACAGAGCTCAGGCTGTGGAAAAGTCGGTTGTGAATTGATTTTGTTGTTTTCTGTGAGGGGACAGGGTACTGTAGGTTACTGTATTTTGTCTTTAAAAATTTAATGAGACGAAACCAAGTTAGAAAGCTGGAAAAACGAGTGGAGAAAAAAGCTTTTTTCAGAGTACTGTAGGGTACTGTAGCTTCCAGTAGGACTCCGGCTGTGGAAAAATCGGTTGAACCATCTTTCAAACGACTAGGCTTTCAATGAGTTTGATGATTAAGTCATTAAAAGGGCATGACTAAAAGTTCAGACTGACAGGCCGATTTGGGGGGGCTTTTTATATCTGATAAAAAACTCTCAATTCAAGAAAAAGGAAAAGCTGAGCTTCAGAAGAACATAAAAAGAAGTTCAGAACGTCTTCGAAGTGTCTCAAGCATTACTAAACTAAAAGACAAGACCTTGAAGTTAAGAAATAGAAGAAGTGAAGCTTCAGAAGGTTAAAACAACGAATTCAAGCCTCAGAACTCAGGTATTTTTGCCCTTCTAAGCTTGACTTTAGAAAACTGAGGACTAGAGATTCAGACCACTCTCAAGAATGCGATTAACGCCTCCAAAGTCCTCCTTTTTGCTTCACCCGATCTGAAAATAATCGCATAAATCAGGAGAGGAAAGGGCAAATCATCACATAAAAGTGCGAAACGATCGGCGGTTAAAATCACGAATATATCAAAAGCAGACGAAACGGCGAGGAACTGATCAAGAAGCATGGTGGAACCGACGCCGTTTTGACAAATTGCCAAAAAAAGTATTCCGAAGAGAGAGTGGCCACTTGAGGGATCAGAAAGGCGGATGGAAAGATCCCGCCAAGGGATGTAGTGATCACTAAAGTGATGAGGAAAGGCGAGTAAAATAACCCCGTCAAAAAAGATAGCGGTCACTAAAGCGGTTGGGGAGGTGGAAGAATAATCATATCGAGGAAGGTAGTGGCCACTTAAGGGACCGGAAAGGGGGGGGGGGGAGGAGGGTCATGTCAATAGAGATAGTGGACTCTTAAGGGACCAGAAAGGCGGCCTTTTGATTGCCAATAAAGGTAGTGGCCCCTAAAGTGATGAGAAACGCGCGTTCACTTCGAAAAAGATAGCGGTCACTAAAGCGGTTGGGGAGGTGGAAGAATAATCATATTGAGGAAGGTAGTGGCCACTTAAGGGACCGGAAAGGGGGGGGGGGAAGGTTCATGTCAATAGAGATAGTGGACTCTCAAGGGACCAGAAAAGCGGCCTTTTGACAAATTGTCGAAAAAACTGTGCCGAAAAGATTGTGGCCACTTGAGGGATCAGAGAGGTGCGTGAAATGATCATCTCTAAATAGATAGTGGCCCCTAAAGTGATCAGAAAGGGCGGAGTTTCGAGAAAATACAGTGGCCCCTAAAGTGATTGGAGTTTCGACAAATTGCCAAAAAAAAATTTGTCGAAAAGATAGTGGCCACTTGAGGGATCAGGAAGATTCGTAAAATGATCATGTCAAGAGAAATAGTGGCCACTTTAGGGATCAGAATGGCGGGTAATAGAATCAAGTCAAGGAAGATAGTGGCCACTTGAGGGATCAGGAAGCCGCGAAAAACTATAATGTCGAGAGAGATAGTGGCCACTTGAGGGATCAAAAAGGCGCGCAAAAGGATCAAGAGGGTTGCCCTTAATTTGTCGTCATACAGCGGCGTAGCTTGATCGAGTGCGGTTGATTTTCTCTTCCTTTTTTTTTGGGAGAGAGATGCTTTGTCAGTGGAGCGCAGATCGAGTTTTGATGGGTTGTAGTGGGTTAACGATAGGGGTAATGATGTCATAACCTGATCAGAAATAACTGGTCTGGATTTTTGTGAGATACTGGGGGTTCTTTGAAGGTTGGAAAAGGCTTTTTCAGTTTTTTTTTTTTTTGAATTTTTTCAATCGATCTAAAGAGGTGATTCCGAGTTTTTAAATGTTTTAAAATTTAGCAAAACCCTCAGAAATCATTTGAAAAGTTCATTACTTCTAGCTGTTCTGATAAAAGCTCAAAATCCTCTCAACTATTCATCTCTGATCCAACTCCTTCAAACCGTTCGCACTTTCCAGATCCGCAACGGTTCCCATTCCACATGTTTCTTTTTCCTCCTATCATTCCCAGCTGCCAAATGATTCAAGCCAACCGTGCATAAATCTTCACGGGATAAGAAAAAAAAAGAAGAAAAGGCTTGAAGGCAGCGGCCGGCTTTGCAATGGGCTATTAAAATGCGGACGGTTTGGGTTATCAAAACGATCGTGTTTTTGGAAACGATTCGGTTGATCCTAACAATGCTTGGAATGGTTGTCTTGATACGGGGGAGAAAAATCATGAAAAAAACTCCAGAAAAAAATTTTTTTCGCTTCCATCAAACATATCTTATCTGATAAGCTTCAAATTGATCCAAAATACTTCAAAAAAAGACATTAAAAAAATCCAAAAAAAGTTCTGGTCAATAAAAAAAGATGAAGGGGGGGTGAAAAAGATAGTTTTTTTGGAAGGAATAAGGTTGATCCAAATAATGGCTAGGATTAAAAAAAAAAAGAAAACTTCGAAAAAAAGATGCTTTTGATGAATCAACTATGCTTCTAGAGCCACAGGGGAAAAAATTCCAGACAACAAAAAAAACGGTGGAACAAAAAGAAGCCTCGACACGACTTTCCCCCATTTTCTTGCTCATATTACCGCCGACTCCATTGTCTTTCGCCTTCGGACCTTTTTTCGGCCCCAAAGGCTCAAAATTCACCACCCACCAACAACAAATCACAACGGAAAAACAAGAAATTCGTGACTTTAGCTCCTTTTTTCAGTTAGCCAGTATCTAAAAAATTATTATTGGAACATATGGACTACTTTTTCTAGAGCAGAAAGACCTGACGCTTTGTTTGAAAAAATAAAATTTCACGAATCGGGGGGTTCTTCACGCAAAAAAACTGAAAAAATGCACGATTTTCAATAAAAATCAATTTTTTCGAGTTGAAAAAAACATATTCAAAAGAAAGTTAGTGAACAAAAAATGTTCAATTTGTCACTGGCTTTCGTTTAAAAAAAGATTCATTTGATTTGGTCAACAAACAAAAAATTTTTTTTTTGTATTTGAGCTACAGTGATCCACAAAAAGGGGCGGAGCTTGTCAAAACTTCAACTAAAAGCTTCAGAAGCTTGTAAAGTAGTTTGGATAAAAGTATGAGTTCAAAAAAAGCAACATGAATTTTTTAATGCCAACGGTTCATCGCTATTCTTGGAAAACGTATGTTAAAGCCAAAAATAGAAGAAAGTTGAGAAAACAAAGCAACTGGAAAAATTGATATTCTCGTAGCGAAAGTGATGGCCGGGGGGCAGAAAAAAGCCGAAAAAAACTGAGAAAAAAGGTGCGCCTCGAGTGGATCTGCCGCCAGAGGCCGGAAAAATTCCGGACGTCCTCAAGGGTTTTTTTTTCTGATTTTTGCCGACGGGCTGGCGAAAAAAGACGGACCGATTGGCATTGGAGTGGCTACGTGAAAATATAAATAAATGGAGATTTCCTGAAAAAGCCCTAATTTGGCTCAAAAAGCTTCAAAATCTTGACACCGGTCTTCAAAATACGCATAAAAAGTGACGTGGAAAATAAATTTCCAAAAAAAAATCCTGGCTCCAAAAGCCCCAAAATTCTCGATTCGATTTTCAAAACAGGAAAAAAGATCTAATGATAAATAACCGCATGCAGAATGGCTGCACGCGTTGCGGTTGCGGAGCGTGTTTTTAAAAGACGCGACCGACCTTAACCGACTTTCGAGCTAGGCTAGGGCATCCTAGAACATTAGATTCGACTGCTGAATTCCAAGATTTTCAAGCTAAAGACTGCACTACAACCGCGTGGCTGTGAGCCATTCCAAATGCGACCAGGAATTTTTATTTTTCAAAAAAAGATGAATAACGCCCTTTTTTTAAATCAACCATCTTCCCCAAAAAAACCTAACCCGCTTTTTCTCCTTGAAAATGTAATTCCTGAAGTGAGAAACAATTTTAAAATGACGTCACAAACGTTTTTTTGAGAATTGAAAATTAATTTCAGTTGTAAAAAGTACAGAAAACCTTCCATGTAAAAACCTGAAAAGCAAGATTTTATTTTTCAAAACCTTCAAAACCTTCCAAAAAACAAATAAAACCCTGCAATCCTCCTCTCGAAAAACCCATAAAAACCCGAAAATCTCTCGCCAATAACCATATAAGGCGGTGTTTAATGTGTGTTTCTCTTGGAGGGAAAATAAGGTCACACAAAAGGGAAATAAATTGAAGGTAATTTGCAAAACGCTTCAAGTCAAGCAGGAAACATTGAAGTACTTGGAAAAAAGGTAATCAGCTTGAAAGTGAATTGAAGTGCCAGAAAAGCGAAAAGAGACTCAACAGATCAAATTCGGCGCTGGTTCAAAGAAAAATTGAGCCAAAAAGTGTAAAATGACGTCATGACGTTGAGAAGCCTCATATAGAAAATGAAATGACGTCATAACTCCAAAAATGATGTCACGAGCCAGATAGTGACGTCATAATGTACGAAGAAAAACTTTTCAGAGAAAAAAGTGACGCCATAGTGTCCGGAATGACGTCACGAGTTAGATGATGACGTCATAATGTAGAAAACTTTTTTCTAGAAAATATAATGACGTCATAGTTCCAAAAATGATGTCACTAGCTAGATAATGACGTCAGGATGTTGAAGAGCTCTTTATGGAAAATAAAGTGACGTCATAGTGTCAGGAATGACGTCAAAAAGTTGGATAATGACGTCATTAAGTTGAAAAGCCTTATATAGAAAATGAAATGACGTCATAGTGTCAGGAATGACGTCAAAAAGTTAGATAATGACGTCATAATGTAGAAAACTTTTTTCTAGGAAATAAAGTGACGTCACGAGCTAGAAAATGACGTCATGGAATTAAAAGACGTTTTATGGAAAAATAAATTGACGTCATAGTTCCAAAAATGATGTCCCGAGCTAGATAATGACGTCAGAAAACTGTTAATGACGTCATAGATTTGAAAAAACTTTTCAGTTAGAATAAATCCGAAAAATATCAAATGAGAAAAAATTCACCTGATAAAATATTTTGAAACCGCAAAATCATTGAAAAAATGTTTTTTTCAACCTTTGACTAACATTGATAAAATAAACTTTTCAAAGTTCTCATCAAGTTTAAAAAGGTACAATAAAGCGTGAAAAAACTT